CATTAGAATAAAGAAAGTGCAACTCTTATTTTGATAAAAATAAATAAATAAAATAGATTCCTTAATTTGGAAAACAATAAGGGTATTGCATTATCATTTTTAATTTCAAAAATTATCACTTTTTAAATCAATTTTGTGAATTAAAAAAAATAAATAAACCATCCGGTAGCATTCTTGTTCTGAAAGAGCACCTTGTTTAAAGAAAGCTATTTTCAATAATCACATTCAGCAGCAAATAGGCCTAGTGCATGAGCAATTAAAAAAATGGGGGAAAAAATCTCATTTGATACACACCATCGTCATTTGGTAATGTTTTTGATTTCAAGTTGTATACGTTTTAATTTGATATGAAATGTTTACGGACCAAAAAGCTATTTTATTCTCCTCCTTATACATGTACAAGTAGCCTTCTTTTTGTTTGTTTGTTTGGTTTTGTTTTGTTTTGTTTTGTTTGTTTGTTTTTTGTTTGTTTGTTTTTTTTTTTTTTGTATTTTTTAATAATGAAATTTGCTTCAAATTATTATTTAACAATTTGTATCAAAATTAAATCAATGTTTTAAATATCAATCATGATCAGGCATTATTTCAAGGTTGCTTTCTTCTTCCTGTGCACATACATGTATACATGTACATTTACATGTACTTTACATATAGGGGCTAGGAAAGTGTTCCATTTTTTTGTAGAAAACCCCGTTTATTTATAGAACGGAACCAGGTACGTGGGGGTGGGGTAGGAGCAAAATGTCATCAAATTTTATAATGAATGATTTCTCTACTACATTGTTACATTCCTGCATGCATAAAAATAAGGTAAAGAAATTATCTTACCTGCTAAGAAGTCACCTGTATCTTTTGAAAATTGTAGATATTAATTAAGTCGGCGAATGGTAAACAAAGTACATTTGAAATCATAAGTCGCAAATGGATTGGCCATAAATTTCAATATTAATTCAATGGCATATCTAAGTAAAAACCATGTCAAGTGCACCCAAAAGTAAATATGAAAGCGACGACAAAAGTAAATATCAAGTCGACTGCACACAACAGAAAATATCAAGTCGATTGCAGACAACGGTAAATGTCAAGTGGACTGCAGACAATAGTAAATATCAAGTCGACTGCACACAAAAGTAAATATCAAGTCGACTACAGACAAAAGTAAATATCAAGTCGACTCCACACAAAAGTAAATATTCAATCCATGACACACAAAAGTAAATATCAAGTCGACTGCACACAAAAGTAAATATCAAGTCGACTACAGACAAAAGTAAATATCAAATCGACTCCACACAAAAGTAAATATCAAATCCACGACACACAGAAGTAAATATCAAGTCGACTGCACACAAAAGTAAATATCAAGTCGACTGCAGACAAAAGTAAATAACAAATCGACTGCACACAAAAGTAAATATTCAATCCATGACACACAAAAGTAAATATCAAGTCGACTGCACACAAAAGTAAATATCAAGTCGACTGCACACAAGAATAAATATCAAGTCGACTGCACCAAAAAGTAAATATCAAATCGAGGACACACAAAAGGTAAATATCAAGCCGGGGACACAAAAGTAAATTTCAATGTTGACCACACGAAAGTAAAAAAATGAAGCACAAAAGTAATTATCAAATCGACGACACACAAAAATAAATAACAAATCGACGACACACAAAATTAAATTTCAAATCGACGACACACAAAAGTGAATTTCAATTTAAGTCAAAAGCACACAAGAGTAAATAACAAACCGACTGCACAATTAAGTTTGAAAATCAGTTTACTGTTGCTCGGCTGAAGTAAGATAGTGCAGTATTTGTTATACTAGCGACAAAATGTATAAAGTATCGTTTTCCTGTTCTCATCGCATTTTTGTCGATGGTATATATATGTTGAAACTCTTATTGTAAGAGTCATGATGACTCATGATTTAAAAAGTAAGGACAGATCATTTACATTATGAGTGATATTGTGCAGATATTTTGGTTTGGGTGAATAAATTGAACTATTGCAATCCTGAGTAAAAACTAAACAAATCTTTAGGGGGACATTTTAACATTCACTAAAGAACTGGACACGACACAAAACTTTTTCATATTCAAAGTAATAGTGTTACATGGAAATTCTTGTTCTATCCATATAGACAGTCAATCAGTGGAGTCAGTTACAGGCTTATCTGCATACACTGCTTCCTTCGGAAGCTGCATAAAATTATAAGTGGGCAGGTTCACGCCCATATCCTTCAATCAACCCAAGCCCGAAGGAACCGAAATACGGAGTGGCATGCCCCCACCTACATGTACCCCACACCCAATAATTTTGCCAATCTACACTATACAATTTGCAAAATTATTGGGGGGGGGGGGGCACGCCACTTACCTGTGTTTTCTATCTACTGTGTCCCATAGAAAAACACAAGTAACTGACTTTTCCCTTGTTTCTCAAAGAATTTTGGTTCGGCCTTTGTCCCCCCCCCCCCTCCCCGACACACACGCACACCTATATATGGGCCTGCAATATACAATTACCGAAATCGCCATATTCCCTCCCCCCCCCCCCCGTCGAAACAAGAAATCGTCCCAGTTCGTACGAGGGATACCTTATAGGCTATATATATATTCTCCACTTCCTGGTTGTCAAACAGTAAAGATCGTCTAAAAATAACCACATTTGGATTACTTACTATCCAGTAATATATACTAGTACATATACTGCGAAAATATTCTTCAATGTATTTTTTTGTTACCAATTAACGTAGCGATTTTTTTAATTCTACCAATAGATCCGAAGTATTAGAGCATACTTGATGGTTAAGCCTGGCAAGCTTCTGATGTACATGTACCCTAATTAGTTATAGTATACCGTTCGTGCGGTATAGAATTTGTGCAAAATAAAATAAGTTACAAATGCCACAAGAAAAAAACCATGCATGACCTTACTTCCTTTGGTCGATTTAGAATCGAAGGAATCCCCCCAAGCGTTTTTTTGACCCCCCTAATGTAACGAAGGAATACCCCCCCCCCAAGAGTTAAAACGACTCTCTCGGGTTTTTTTTTTTTTTTACTCCCCCAAAGTAACGGTTAGACACGGTGTACATGTATAAGAAAGAAAAAAAAACTGGTCAATAAAAAAGAGAAAATACACAGGCACTTGTTTCTGTAATAAATTTTTGACCCATAGTATAATAATAACATTATTACACTATGGGTCAAAAATTTATTACATACGATAGCCTATTAGGATCAAACTCGGTAAAAAAGATAAAAGGCGTTATAACGCCTTTTCAAAAGGCGTTATAACGCCTTTTCAAAAGGCGTTATAACGCGAAAAAAAGGCGTAATAACGCCTTTTAGCGTTATTACGCTTTTCCAAAAGGCGTTACTACGCCTTTTATTTTTCAATACTTGACTTACTTAGCCCACCCTGCGGGCTAATTATATTTAGATTTCCAGGAAAAAAAATTTTTAAATGTGTAAAATATTTTCAGTGTTAAACCAACTTAGTCCTTCTCTGATGCCAGACACCTCTACCAAGGTGACTAGGTGCATGGATTTCACAAATTTAATGGTTGAAGGCTAATTGCTCATTATACCTATGCAAATAGTTTGCCTGTTTTTTTTTCCAAGAAGAGAGAAAAATATTTCAAATTTGAGAGTGTTGACTTCTCTTAATACGCATGCAAACAGCTGTCTGCGAGATGTGCAGGAATATAGAACAAACTTTAATTTATAATATAATTTATAATATTAAAACTATGATCTAAATATTGCATAAATAAAGATGGCTTTAGTTCAATGTTTCATATATTTATTATTTTAAAATAACGCCTTTCCATTTTTTGATATAACTCCTTTTCAAACAGGCCGGTAGTACGAATGCGAGTGGGGGGGGGGGGGGCTTACCCACCCCACTTTTTAGAAGAATAGTCAGGATATGGTTTTAATATAAAAAAAATCATTTATTGATTGCTTGGTACCTTAACATTTTGTTGCAGTATGGTTAAACTCGGGCAAGTCATTGCGTTTAAAAAAAGTTTTACCGAAAAGTTAGAAAAAGAATCCCTCAAGTTTAGGCAGTTTATTTTTTGGGGGGTGAGGGGTGGGGTGGGGTTGTTTCTTGTTTTTTTTTTCTTGCTTGTCAATTTTGTGGGAGGCTGCCCCCCCCCCCTTCAAAAGCACGGACCTGTCAAAGACATAATAATGGCCCTTCAAAAGGCATAATAACGCCTTTTAAAAAGGCGTAATAACGTCTTTTGAAAAGGTGTAATAACACCTTTTGAAAAGGCGTAATGACGCCTTTTGAAAAGGCGTAATAACGCCTTTTGGAAAGGCGTAATAACGCATTTTTAAAAGGCGTAATAATGCCTTTTGGAAAGGCGTAATAACGCCTTTTTGAAAGGCGTAATAACGCCTTTTAGAAAGGCGTAATAACGCCTTTTCAAAAGGCGTAATTATGCCTTTTTTCGCGTTATAACGCATTATAACGCCTTTTAATTTTTTTTAACCGTAGTTTGATCCTAATAGGCTTTCGTAATTACAGAAACAAGTGCCTGTGAGAAAATATCTGAAAATTTTTCGTGCATTAGCATGATGTTATAATATTGTATATGTATCGAGTGTTTCTGACAGTCTTAAATACAAAGTATGGTACATCATAAACAAGAATATACCCCAAAAGTTTTCATATTTATAACAAATGAAGATTTTTAATGAATTTAATGTTAGGTCTTCAGTACGTCCCTGTAGCTAATACGCCCTCTGGTGAGATTGAAGTAAATCGTCAAATCAAGGTAAAGCGTACAGTTAAAGATTCGTCTAAATTTTATTTCTGTCTTGAAAACTGGTACATGCCGCTTATTGGATGTTGATCTTTAAACTTGGATATACTTATTGAATAAAAAAATCATTGGATATATAATGTACAAATGAAATGATACATTGTCTATATCGAAGAAGTTAAGGTACGACCATTGTTGCCCAAACAAAGTCCTAAAACGAAACTTGCTGAGAATTATCATGTACTAAATATTTTCACTGCATATAAAAACCCCGATCGATGGCAAGTCCTGCAAAGAAACCGAAAACCTCGGCACTACCAGTGTGCCCATATGGAGCACGATGTTACAGAAAAAATCCCGAGCATTTTAAAGAATTTACACATCCCTCGAAGAAGACTGACGCTTCTGCAAGTGACAACGGCATGAACAGCGATACCAAGGCCAGTGTCAATGACAGCAACCTTCCACCCTGTAAATATGGTGCTAGTTGTTACAGGAAGAATCTTCTTCACTTTGCTGAGTATTCTCATCCCACTGTGATAAAAGGCAAGGACAGTGGGAGTGACACGGATCCTATAGAATCAGATGAAGAGGATAAGGTAAGACACTCAGCTGATACTGTCAGATTATTTTGTCGTTTGTCATTATCCCATTGCTGTTGAAATCACATGCTAAGTATACGTGATTTATTGCATTCCCAGAAGAATTAAACATGGTGATCAGGCGGGTTCTTCTTCCTATAATTAGCATACAGTACTGTACCACAATCTGGTGTATTATTGTAGTAAATGACAATGATCAATCGCAGGTGGCCAGATAGCACAGCACCTGACTAGTGATTCAGGGGGGCTCAGGTTGGAATCCTTGTCTGGTCCCTCACATTTTTCTCCTCACTGGTTACATTTGGCGATGTTCACTACCTCTGGACTTGCAGGTGTAAGTCAGTATCTTGGTTGGTTTTCAGGGGCAAAGTGAGACCTTTGAGGAGGAAAGAATGTGGCAGTCAGGCAGGTTTAATCCCTGGTATCCATTTACAGGTTCAAATCCTGGTCTGGTCTTGTGCATTTTTGTCCTGGCCAGTTACAAAAGGAATAGTATGATATTAGAACTAGATAGTGATTTTTTTTAAACATGTAATACTGTTATTGTGACCCTGAGTAATGCAAGTTTAAATTACACTTCCAACCAGATAGACGAGGAGAACCTGGCACAACAAATATAAAAAAAAACCCTAGAAAATAGATATTTAAGATCATTGGGGTACCTGTAATGCTGTTAGTCTGGTTAGACAATGACCAGATAACTCAGTTGATAAAGCACCTGTCTAGAGTACGGGGGGCATGCGTTTGAATCCTGGACTGGCCCATCATCCCCCCTTCCAGTTAAATTTGGTGTTGTGATCATGTTGTGATCATGAAAGTGAAAGATGGTAGACATTAGAGGATGAGTTTGGGTTGGTGTCCTCTGGGATAAAGATATTTGAGGAGGGAGACATAATTATGGTTGTCATTCAGGCACTGGGTTTGTTCATCAATGGCAAGATAGCTCATATGATACCTGTCTAAAGGTCAGGGGTCCTGAGTTATCCATGTTTGATTTGACACATTTTGTCCCATCCTGTTATAATATTTATAATCTGCAAAATACGGTAAAACATGGTTATAACTAACACACTTATAATGAATTCACGCTTACCCCAATGTGATTTTCTTTCCCCGTGGTTTTAAAATGCAGTGAAAATTAACTGGATATAATGAGTTACGTTTATAACGAATCAAAATTGTTTGTCCCTGGTGCTTCATTACAAAACTGACAATTTTTATTCTTAATCGTAGTTTTTCCTGTTTTCCAACAAATCAATTATTGCACAATATATTTTAAAGAAAAAGTCAAAAGTCAAGTCTGCAGACATCTTGAAAAGAGGCATGTCTCTGGTTAAGAAGTACTCACAGATGACAGAAGATGAAAGAAAGGAGCTGATCAAACAAGCGTTTGAAGCCAAGCAGAAACTACAGGAAGAATTAAAGGAAACAAAAGACAAAGTTAAAGAGAAGGAAAAGGAATTGGAGAAAATGCAGCAAAAGGTTGATAAATCTTTGTTGAGTGTAGTAACAAGAATGCAACATTGATTTTGAGTAAATCTTCAACTACATAAAAACATGGAAAGTCAGGGATTTTCCTGACCTATTTTTAGTCCATTTTAATATTGGACACATTCCATTAAAAAATCAACTACATTTTCTTAATTTTTGATCTTCTTTACCTATTCATTCAAGTTTTAGTCCAAAGTACTTACCGTGAAAGAAAATCAAGGCAGGTACCCATTAGTCCTAATTTCAAAATTTCACAATCTGAACATTTGAAGCATCACAATTTTCAAGTCTATGGCCTCTGAACCCACTTTGAAAAAGTCAAGAAAACCTTTGAAAGTAACTCAAAGTGCATTGACCTAATTTGTTGACCTGTATGTGTTTGTGGTGCCTATAGGTGTCCTCTGGCCTGTTATTTGTGGAAGGGGAGAAGGCTGCTTTAGAGGGGACAGACACCGTGTACTTTTCACTTATGGCTGAGAGAAACCATAAGGAGGGATCGGCTGAGCAGACTCATTTCAGACTCGCCGAGTCACAGTTTTACCGCCTCCTAAGTGGCACGGACAATAGGTAGGCAAGACACCTACACTGTAAGAAAAATTTTTACATAATGCTGTAAACCCGCAAGAAGTTTTGTTTGTGATTCTTAGGGTTGAGATTCTACTAAGATTATTATTTTTTGTGACTGAGGAAACATTTTGCATATATAAAGTATAGAATTTCACAATTGGCTTGCAGCAGGAAATGTTTGCTGGTAAAGATATATAAAGAGTTGGTTTACAGTTTGCTATTGATTCTCTCAATGATTTGTTTCATCTGCAGTGTATAGACAAAACATCAAGGTTTACACACAAATATATAGTATAAAAGACTATATTTTGTAATGACCAATATTTACCTCCAAATTCAAACTTCGATAGAAAAATGTTTTAAACCAAGGGAATATATGCAGACATAAAACTTAACATGATGCTATATGTTAGATAGGACATAAAGAAAATGACATAAATTTCTATAATTTTTAGAGGAAAAAAGAGTATATTTTATGATATTATACTTTCATGTAAATTAGTTGAATCTGATTCGTCGAGAAACTTTTTTTAAAAAACACTATTGCCCGCTGAATGATGAAGCCATGCCCTCCAGTATAGCAACAGTCAACATTGCTTGACGACAGGTGATATTAAAAAAAATAGTGACTGCGCAGAATTTATGCGTGCACGGTTCACTCTTATATGTAATTGTATAAAACATTAAGTATAATATAATAAATATTGCATGTAGTTGAGTGTAACATTGAAAATTTTCACCCCTGGAAAACCGTTGTCAACCTCGGCTGCCTTGGGGTGAAAATTTTTAATGTTACACTCAACTACATGTAATATTTATATATTGATATTTTAATTAAAAGTCGCCATGTCTGCTCCAACTTAATCCCCTTTATCTTTTCGATTTTTATTTGGGGGAAGTATGCATATACAGTCAAACATTGTTATCTTGAAATCAAAGGGACTAAGAAAAAACTTCAAGATATCCAGGGTAAAATACTGAAAGGGGTTAGGACTTCTAAATTATTTTGACATATCCATGGTATTCAAGATATCAGTGTTCAAGATACCGAAGTTCAACTGTACCATATGTAATTCTTTCTGAATGATCAGAGGACAACATTTAATGCTGTGAATGAATAGTAAAACTTGTCTAATCTGAATATTGTGTACTCTAAATCTTGCCTATTATGATGAAATATTTTAGTCTTTTTTTAGATAGTGAATTCAATTTTTTAAAATTTGTCTAATATGGTTCAAATGTTTGTCTAATCTGGCCAGTTTCTATGGAACCTATGGTGTCCTGATTAGACAAGTTCAGGTACATGTAAGTTAAATGGAACTGGTTATCATTCAGAGCACAGAGTTTTCAGTTGTGTCACCATTGTAATAACAGAAGGACATGATGTGTTTTTCAGTTATACCATTAAAAAAGTGGAGTATGTTGTTAATCCAGAGCTGAGGACCAAATTTAAGTAAGAAATGTTTATAATGAACTTAATTTAAATGTAATAACATAGTGTTGAGGCTTCCTAAAGGATTACATGACTGGCAGTGTATATTCTCTCTTCTTTTAGTTGCTTTGAACATGTCCCAATATTGGAAACAATTTTGCATGAAATTTATGGATATTCATTTGAAATACTGTACATACACACATGGTACAACACTTTTCATGTTTCTATATTAGGGTTGAGTAAAAATTGACATGAACATTCCATGCATGGTCACCTTGTAACAGTTTAAGTCAATTGAGATTAGGCATATAATATTTATATTGATTAAGGGTGGGTGGATTAAAGAATTTGTTGCTCTTTGCCGGATTACAAACATTGGATTTTAAAATGACATTTAAATTTCAGACATGCAAAAGATGAGCTGAAGAAACAGAGAGGGGAGGATCTATCCTATCCTGTGTTAGCATTTCATGGAACAAAAGTAGAAAATATCACCAAAATCTGTGAAACAGGATTTAGGGTTCCTGGTAAATACATGTATCTTTGACTTAATGCATGGATTTATTTACATATATTTGAATAGACTTTTGTACATGAGCATCCAAGTGAGCATAATTTTGCACATGTGCATTTTTGTTAGTATTTTCCTCCATAACAGAGACTAACAATGAGCACATGAGCAAAATCAAATTCTACTTAATTTGCATGAATTTTCTTACCAGATTCTCATGTGTTTCTCATGAGCTGCTTATGAGCATCGGTTAGAATGTTATGTACGGATACAGTCCTTTTTGGTACAGGGTCTGGGTCCCACTAGATTGTAGATTGAGAATATTATCAAGTTGAACATTTTGGGTCAAATTGGGAATTTTATTAAAACTATTATAACATGAATTGATTATTCTAAGGTATTAAAAGACAAAAACAACAAAGTTCAATTAGGTTTTAAACTAACGCAATTTTATTTTTTTTATACACAAACTGCGTAGTTTATGATATTGGGAATTTCTAGATACGTAAATTGGGAATTTGGGGTGTTTTCCCATTTGGGAAGGGTACATTTATTGGACCCAAATTAGAGAGTTTGATGGTCCTGGGATACATAACTGAGGGAAACTCTTGTTTGTTTGTTTGTTTTTTTTTTTCAAAGGAAATTCATTTAAATTTACTCAATATGTGAATAATGTTTAAAGGTAGATCTGTATAGAGTTTGAGTTCATCAGTAAAGCTCTGAATTGTTTATTTTCCTGCAACCATGCACACTTTCATGCTGGACAAAACATTGAGTACATTTCAGCAGGCAGACGTCATATACACTACACAATTAAATAAAACACACAGATTTTCAGGCATTTTTTTGTTAGAAGGTCAAGGCAAAAAGGTCAAGATTAGAAAGTTGATAAAAAATCCACTCAGGAACTGCATGGTTAGAAACATGTACATATATAGCTACGTTAGCTATTAACATAACAATATTGTACATTGTTTTTGTAGGTGATAAAGGTTTCAAACACAGAACAGACACAGGCTGGTACGGGAAGGGGGTTTACTTCAGTGAGTACCCGGACTACTGTATGGGGTACATCCAGGGGGCAGAGAAGCTCCTCCTCTGTCAAGTTCTCCCGGGGAAAGTGTTTCACTGCAGTAAGCTGATCCACGGGGCGGCGCTGACCAAGGGACACGACTCTCACACTTCACCCGATAAAAAAGAACTGGTCATCTTTAACCCTTATCATATTCTGCCCTGCTATATCGTTCATTATAAGATGGCATCTGGGGAGTTTGTATATGGTGTAAGTGAAAAAAAAAATCATTCAGTCATTGTCAAGTAATAATTATATATTAAAAAAGTATCTTTATAAGCAGTGCAGATTGAGTAAATACATGAACAACTGTCTATGTGAAAGTTTTTTGGACCACACAGGACATTCGGTCCTATGTAATCAATGAATACACAGGACCGAACCAAATTTTGTCAGACCGAAAAATCTAATGTAAAAAAGTGAAATACGTGAAAATGCAGAACCAAGGAAATCTTATTACTGTAGACGGTCCATGCGGTTTTAATCAATTCATTTACGTATTTGGATTTGTGCGATATTTTTTTACTTATAACAAACATTTGAATGACTCTGCGTCAAAATAGTAAAGCTCAAAATCGGACGCTGAGACATCAGACATTCTGGTCCCGGGTAAAAAATGACGTGTCGGACAGAGGCACTGCACATTGGTCAGGTCTGACGGTCCGATGTCTTTCGCATAGACTGGAACAATGTACATGATTCCAATGTTTTTTTTTTTTTTTTGTTTTTTTTACACATTACTGAAAAAAAATATTTGAGGAATAACATGTATGAATAAGAAATAATGGAATATGGATAAATCAAAGGTTTAAACTTCTAGTGTCAATTCAAACTAAGGCATTGTAGACCTGTGTAAAGACAGTTAAGCCTCATCAATCTGTACACTTGTGTCTCCAAACTTATTGACCAGATAACTGAAATGCACCTTTTACTATTGGAAGATATAAATGCAATTGTGTTTCCAACATGTTTCATCCAGAAGGTGAAGCATCAAGATTATTGGTTTTCAGATTTCCTGGGCTCGGCTGTACTTATTATATATAAAGTGATGTGAATTTGACAGAGGGTCAAATCAAGCCCAACCATCAATTGTGTCAGATTGATGACTACTCTGAAATTATAATTAATTGCAGAATATTTACTACAACAAGACTTAGTGTCTTTATCATTACTGTAAATCACTTTTTATTTGCAAGAACCTTATTTTCACGTAATTATACAAGAATCTCTGCTCACGAAAATTTAATTATTTAAGGAATCACTGTCTAGTTAGTAGAGTATGCCAGGGCATCAACGATGGTTGGAAACGTGGGATAATTTGCATAACGGGCGAAGCCCGTTATGCATAAATTATCCCACGTTTCCAACTATCGTTGATATCCCTGGCATACTCTACTAACTAGACAGTGATTCCTTATATTTCCATTTCATTGTGAAATAAAATTGTAAATTTAGATTTTAAAAATGTAGATTAATAGATTTAAATTACATGAGGCCTCACATGTCAATTTCAATAGTCCCCGTCCACTGACGTCAAACACAAAGACAGCCGCACAAGATTTACATGCATATTAGGCCTTCTTAGAGTCAGACACAAAGACAGCCACATGAGAATTACATGCATATTAGGCCTTCGTGGCTCCTGACCTTTCGCTTGGCAAAATTTGCATTCGAGTGGAATGATCAAGAAATCAACTCTCCTAACTTTCAAAGAGTTATCACAGAGAAAACAAATCGAAATGGAAATATTGTGTATAATTTTTTTAATTTAAGATTGTATATGTAAATCACAACATGTGAAATTTTGTTTTACTTATACAGTTATAATACTATCTCAGGAAGATAGGGTGTGGTGAAAATATGGTGGTCTACGGTAGCAAATTTATATTAAGGTGGCACTACACATACTTTTTGTTACTATATAAAAATGTAAAATATGTGGATATACAATACAGTATATGCAATATACAATATGTGTGTATGTTTTGTTTTCTTATACAGAAAACTGGTACTGGGAGTAAGGCTACTTCAGCAAAGAAATCAGGAGATGATGACGATGATGATGATGATGATGATGATGAAAGTGTGCATGAAAAATGTATGAAAGCTCAAACAGCCAAAAAGTCAAAGTAAGTTCCAAAAATCAGCCAAAATAGAAAGTAAGTTCTCAAAACAGCCAAAAAGTCAACTGAAAGTGAATTTTGAAATTTTAAACAGCCACGATAGAAAATAATTTCTTAAAACAAACAAGAAGTAAAAAAAGAAAATAAAATAGAATGCTTCAATTTTTGCTCACTGCAGATGGTTTATATAATTTTTTCTTTCACCCCTTTTTTGCATTGGCAGAGTATTGAAGGACCAGAAAATTTTGTTCACTGGAGCCTTTTGTTTGACCCAGAAAGAAATCACAGAGCTTGTTGTGAAGCATGGAGCCACAACAGGTAGATATTAAATATTTAACAAGTTTCATATTTTACATGTTTTAGTAGGTTCATATTTTATCATGGCCCAGCAAGAATTTGCAAGTACATGTGTACTGATGACTCCGCCTTTGAAGGAATCTAGCTTTTTAAGTTTTTGTCTGTTGTACTCCATCACAAATTTCCTGTTTTTTACCATGATTAATCCTAGAATGTTCAGTTATATAAGTTTCGTAGATAAAATATCCGACTAAAACATAACGAGTGAAAAAGGTATGCCACTCTGTTTTTTTTTTTTTATCATAATTCCCACTTTCTGTATTTCTGGGTTAATAAAACGTTTTTATTTCATTTTAACAAAAAATATCAGTTCAAAATTGGAATTCAATGTTATTTCACCATGAATTGGCAAAGAAGGATAACTCCTGAACATTTTTATGCCCCTGGATCGAAAGATCCCAGGGGTATATTGTTTTTGTCCTGTCTGTCTGTTTGTCTGTTTATCTTTTTGTCTGTTTATCTGTTTGTCTGTTTGTCTGTTGTCAACTTTAACCTTACCCATAACTTTTGATTGGTTGGAGCTATGACTTTCAAATTTCACATGTGTATTCCTTGTGACAAGACCTTTCTTGGGGTACCATCATATTTGACCTTTTGACCTTGACCTTGGAGTTTGACCCACTTTTGCAAAATTTTATGAGACGTTAACCTTGGCCATAACTTCTGAACAGTTGGTGCTTGGGGTTTCAAACTTCACATGTGTATTCTTTGTGACAAGGCATTCCTTTGGATACCAACAACTTTGACCTTTTGACCTTGACCTTGGAGTTTGACCTACTTTTGAAAAACTTTAACCTTGGCCATAACTTTTGAACAGTTGGTGCTTGGGGTTTCAAACTTCACTTGTGTATTCCTTGTGACAAGACCTTCCTCTGGATATCAACCTCTTTGACCCTTTGACCTTGACCTAGGAGTTTTACCTACTTTTGAAAAAACTTTAACCTTGGCCATAACTTTTGAACGGTTAGAGCTAGTGCTTTCATACTTCACATATTAATCCTTGTGACAAGACCTTCCTTTGAATACCAACCACTTTGACCTTTTGACCTTGACTTAGGGGTTTGACCTACTTTTAAAAAACTTTAACCTTGGCTATAACTTTTGAATGGTTGATGCTAGGGCTTTCATACTTCACATATGTAATCCTTGTGACAAGACCTTCCTTTGGATACCAACCTTTTTGACCCTTTGACCTTGACATAGGAGTTTGACCTACTTTCAAAAAACTTTAACCTTGGCCATAACTTTTGAATGGTTGGTGCTAGGGCTTTCATACTTTACATATGTAATCCTTGTGACAAGACCTTCCTTTGGATACCAACAACTTTGACCTTGACCTTGATGTTTTACTTACTTTTAAAAAACTTTAACCTTCGCCATAACTTTTGAACAGTTGCAGCTAGGGCTTTCAAATTTAACATTTTTTATCTTTTGGCCTGGATTTTGACTTGCATTTGAGAAACTTTAACCTTCGCCATAAGCTGCCATACGGGGGCATCAGTGTTTCACAAACACATCTTGTTTGTTTTGCAATCTTATTTAAATAAAAAGTGTAACAAATCTTCCTGTTTGTAAATAATGTCTGTTTTAAAGTTAAGAATGTCTAGGTCATATTTGTTTTTACTAAATAGAGGCTAGCCTGTTACATGTATGCAATGAATGAGTTAGTTTAGATGCAGTGCCCTTTTTTTCTTGCAATTTACTGTATTTTGTAAGATGAATTTCACTTGAAATATAAATGCCAAGTTGGATAATATACTGTAATAATGGTATGCATTGATTTATTCATAGGGACACTGGGTAATTTCAATCTCTGTGTTGCATCGTTGGGATCCGTGGAGGGTACTACCAACAAATTCATGAAGGCAATGGACAAAAATGTAATTTTTTTTATATTTCAAGGTTATTTATTGTTAAGATGTATGTACCCCCGTATTAGATATTATGTATATTTACTAATTTATAAGTGCCCCAGACTCATTGGCGCCATAATGTGTCGATCATACTAAGCTTAAGTCTACTGAATTGGTTTCTTCGTTTTCAGATTCCGATAGTTTCGGAGGAATTCTTGTATGACTCAATCATCAAAAAGAAATTAATGGATCCTGAGGATTATTATCCTGAACAGTAGCAACATTTATAAACCGTTTCTCCTTAAATTTATCCTGCCAGATTATATGGAGCTTTGATTCATACGTCTCTGTATTTTGGACAAAGTTACATGTGTGTGTACAATAACATCAAAATGTATGCTGATCGATTGATACACATAGTTCTTTCACATCTTTTTATCATTTATTCACCTAGTGAATTTACATACATTAGATGTTTGTTTTATGTTAATTTATATTTGTTTGATATTTTTTAAATATCTGGTTTTTAACTCTCTATTTTATCATTGTTGTAGAATCCTTCATTTATTTTTCACCAGCTAATCATCAAACCCAATATATCCAAAGGGGATATGCAAGTTTAAAGGTTGGGGTCAAAAGGAATTAGTAAATGTATATAAAATTTGGTATCTCAAACATCAATTTCTCAAATACCAAAGATACATATTAGTTGAAGTTAGAAGTACCATCTACATTTTCTTTATGAACTTAACCCTCATGCAATAACCGAAACCTTCAGGTAGTTTTTTTCTCAGTCCCATCAACTTTGAGATAACACATTTTAAAGTTAATTGACTGTATTTTAACTTTGAAAATATTAATTCTTGTGATAGAGTGATAAGAAAATATTGTGCCATACTGATTTTAAGATATACAGACTTCAGATTTTTTTTTGCACCCTGCATCATGATATGGATATACCCTGTTACATGACTTGTATTTCACAATGTTAATCTGTGAACATTTTATATGTGATGTAATAGCTTGAGTACCTATCAGTTAGTCTAAATTAAGATATAATATATACTGCATGTACATAGTGATGGATGCAATAGAAAAAAAACCCAATGCATGCACATATATGTATTTTGGAGTCATTTTGTCAAAGGCAAAGATCAAGATTATTTATATGACAGCTGTGATATGTAATGATTTGAACATTTTTATATGAATCCCCTTGTACTCCTGTCCGTGCAATCCTCTGGGCTAAAACTTTGTAATGGAGAATTGTTGGAAGCTCCTCCTTGGTACAGAGATTGCATATGACCCCAGGATGTGTTGTAACTCTGACCCAAGGTCATTCTGGCAAGTTCAAGGTCACTGTTGGAAAAAGTTTAAAAAATTTTGTCCAGGCTATAACCTAGTAATTGAGAATCTTTGGAAGATCAAACTCGGTGCAGAGATTGTTTATGTCCTGAGGGTTTGTCAAGACCTTGATCAAAGAACTTTTTGGCAAGTTAACGGTCTCTGAAAAAATAAAATTCTTGAAGGGGCTATAACTTAGCAATGGAGGATCATTGGAAGCTCATACTTGGTACAAAGATTATTGATGACCTGAGGGTGTGTCATGACATTGATGCAAAGTAATTTCAGCACGTTCAAGGTCACTGGTATAAAAAGTGTAAAATTTATGACAGGTCAATAATTTTCTAATGGAGAATCATTGGATGTCCATATTTCACTAAAAGATTAGCCATGAACAGAGGATTTGTCTTTTTTCTTAACCAAGCCTAGGTCTTTTTGGTAAGTTCAGGTCACATTTACAAATTTGACTAGGCACTTTATAAAAACTTCTGTAGGGGGTATTATTTCATGAGCTCGCTTACAGTACCTTTAGTTCAATTTTTTAGTCTTTTTAACTTGTATTTTTAATTTAGATAAACAATGGTTAGAAAAACATCTTTCATATTATATGCCTACAATAAAATATGTTTATATTAAACAGGCATGTAATAAATGCATGTATATAATTCACATGTGGTCACATTTTGTAAGAAGTATTTTGAAAATGTGTGAAATATTTATTGGATATAATGAATGACAAATACATTTCAATGTAATGAATTACAAATGCAATGTAATGAATTACAAATATTAATATGACAAAGTGATACTAGCTGTCCTTGGAGTATTATGACAAATAAATTTAAAATGATTGTAAATGATATAATTAATTAACAAAGCTATTAGTCACTCAAAGTACCAGTTGTGTAGTATATTATTTCACACTTTTGGCAGCTCTTCCTTTTTTGTTCAGTTTTATTAATCCTGTGCACAATGTGTAGAAATGTTAGATGTTAAGCTTTTTATAAGTTGTTTTAAGTGTATGATTTTTTTTATGTCCCTCAAGCGGTTATGTAAGTAGCAGTGCTGTGATTTTTTTTTGTATGGCTGTGAAGCCATTATGTTAATAGCTGTGCTGTGATTTTTTTTTTGTATGGCTGTGAAGCCATTATGTTAATAGCTGTGCTGTGATTTTTTTTTTTAAATTTGACTTTATATGTCATTATACCCCCGCTCCGAAGGAGAGGGGGGTATACTGTTTTACCCTTGTTTGTCTGTCTGTCTGTCCGTCTGTCTGTCTGTCCGTAACAAATTTTGGTCGCAGTTTTCTCAGCAACTACTCATTGCAAATGCTTGAAATTTTAGCACAATGTTTGTCTAGGCATGCCATATGGTGGGATTCATTTTTGTACGAATTCGATGTCAACTTCCTGTTTTTCCGTGCGTCTGTCCGTATCATACATAACAAATTTTGGTCGTAGTTTTCTCAACAAGTACTCATCGCAGATGCTTGAAATTCTAGGACAATCTTTGTTTAGGCATGCCATATGGTGGGATTCATTTTTGTACAAATCTGATGTCAACTTCCTGTTTATCCGTGCGTCTGTCCCTACCATACATAGCAAACTTTGGTCGCAGTTTTCTCAGCAACTACTCATCGCAGATGCTTGAAATTTTAACACACTCTTTGTTTAGGCATGCCATATGGTGGGATTCATTTTTGTACTAATCCGTTGTCAATTTCCTGTTTATTTGTGTGTCTAACCGAACCATACATAACAAACTTTGGTCGCAGTTTTCTCAGCAACTACTCACCCCAAGTGCTTGACATTTTAACACACTCTTTGTTTAGGCATGCCATATGTTGGGATTCATCATTTTTGTACAAATCCGATGTCAACTTCCTGTTTATTCGTGTGTCTGTCTGTATCATATATAACAAATTTTTGTGTAGTTTTCTTAGCAACTACTCATCGTAGATGCTTGAAATTTTAGCACAATCTTTGTTTAGGCATGCCATGCCATATGGTGGGATTCATTTTTTGTACAAATCGGATGTAAACTTCCTGTTTATCCGTGCGTCTGTCCATACCATACATAACAAATTTTGGTCGAAGTTTTCTCTGCAACTACTCATTGCAGATGCTTGCAATTTTAGCACAATCTTGTTTAGGCATGCCATAAAATGGGATTCATTTTGGTACAAATCTGATGTCAACTTCCTGTTTATCCCTGCATCTGTCTGTACCATACATAACAAATTTTGGTTGCAGTTTTCTCAGCAACTACTTATCGCAGGTGCTTGAAATCTTAACACAATGTTTGTTTAGGCATGCCATATGTTGGGATTCATTTTTTACTAATCCAATGTCAATTTCCTGATTATCACTGTGTTTGTCCGTAACTTAACTTGTGTATTCACATCAGAACGGGGGTATTATTAGTGAGCATTGGCTCACAGACTTCTTGTTAGTTCTAGCAAACATTTAGTTCCAAATAATGTTTTTTCTTTCCTATTATTAATTTTTTTTTTCAGAACCCCCCCCCCAAGATTTAACAATAGATTACATATACAAAAAAGTGTATGTATACATGTGCCATCTGGTTATCCTGTGAATGATATGTAAAATATTTTACTTGTATACCGTGTGTTTGTTTATTTGTGTTTTTTGTTTTGAAAGACTGATATCTTGATAACACACAATGTCATATTTTTCAAGTCACCTGTCACTCAGGTGACTTATCGCTATCTGTTTTCACCCGTCATCGTCCATTGTCATTTGAACTTTACAACTTCTTCTTTTGAACCACTGAACCAATTTCAATCAATTTTGGTGTGTAGCTTTTATGGAAAAAGGGAAACAAAAATTATGAATTTCATGGTATTTGCCTTTCTGGTGCCTGAGGGGTTGGGCCAAAACCATCAAAGTTAATGCAATCCTCAAAAATCTTCTTTACTCCTGGACATCAAGCAGTCAACCTGTTGGCATGATGATAATAAGCAATGAGTCTTTTACCAAAATTGTGAATTTCTTGTCCTCAAGGTGAGGGGTTCTAGTGTTAAGGTGGGGCTCTATTGATCTCATATTGAAAAAAGCATGTGCTTCTTTGAAAATCCTCTTCTCTCCCACAGTATATTTAGCAGCAAAACTTTATACCTATAAGTAAGGATGCCTTTTCCAAAATTTTGAAATTCATTGCCCCAGAAACAGGGATTCTGGTGTTAAGGTGGGACTCTACTGAACATATGGTGAAGGTGCATTACATGTAATATTCAGCAGACAAACTAAGTGCATGGTTATGATGAGTAATGGTGCCTCTCTCAAAATAATTAAATTCCTGACCGCTGGATCAGAGGTTCCTGTGTTAAAGAAGGACTGTATTCACCATTTAGTGAAAAATGCATTAATTCTTTGAAATCTTCTCTGCTCCAGGGTTTTTAGCAGACAAACAAAGTGCACAATTACATGCATATAATGAGTAAGGGTGTCTCTTCCAAAATTGTGAAATTCATGGTCCCCTTGACCAGGGGTTCCAGTATTAAGGCAGGATTTTATTGATCATATACAGGTATTGGAATTGAAATTAATGGTTCCATGTGAGCATCTAGAAAGCAAAAAGAGTACAAAGTTGTAATGAGCAAGGGTCGTTTTACCTGATCTGTGAAATTCTTGACCCCTACATGGGTCAGAGATTTTTTGTTCAGCAAGGCTCTATGGAACGTAGGACTATTTTAAACTTTAGTTTGAGAGAATAGAAATGAGATAAAAATACTGTATATCCGTACATTAAATGGTTTTTAAAGACTAAGAGAGGCCAATGGTGCAGGGAGTGTGCTGGATTTACCATGTTTAAGTTTGGTGATTATGACAGCTAGCACTGGCACATACAGGCAAGTAAATAAATCTACTCTCTGGGTTGTTGCTGATTACCCAACTAACTAGATTGCTGACCCCTTATAATACTTGTATTTGAGCAACATAATTATCAATTAGTTAAATTTGTGTTCTTATTTAATTATTACATTGCCATTCATTGATCGTTACAGTGTGGTATTATACT